AATGCCACAGTCGACAGAAGACTGTATCTCTTCCAAGTTCGCATGCAGATTTCTTCTAACAAATAATTTTTAACAAAAAGATGCTCCATTTTTGCCAGCTTCCTAATGACTGAGAAGTTTAAACATATCCTTAGCGAAAGAAAAAGGGGGTAGATTTAGTATGAGAAGACTTACTGAACTTTTAGGGGTCATGGTAAAATATAAATCCTAGATCTTCTAGACAAGTAAAAACACTCAGTGATTTATTCCAGCCTTTATTCATTCAACAAGTATTTATGAAATGCCTATTTTATATGTAACAGGTACTTTCTCTAAATGTGGGGGATATAGCAATGAATAAGACAGGCAAAGTGAATTCTATGAACACCACAGTAGTAATTATGTAATAACCAGTTTTTCTGGTTTCTAGAGTTCGCTGGTTTCCATAGTTTAAATACTCCCACTGTGGCCAATTTCAAGCCACTGACGTGGCATCCCTGGGAAGCTGGGAAATGATGCAACACAGTTGGCCTTCGTGAGCTGGTAGGAACCAGCTTCAGCACTCCTCTGGAACACTGGTACAGTGAGGCTTTCAGAAAAAGAGGGTGGTTGAATTATGTAGAAATATAAGTTTTGAGAAACACTATATACCTTTATTGTATACTGTATCATTCTCTTAGAGGTTTTTTAAACACTTTAGTTCAACAAAGAGTCATATGGTTAAAAACCTAAAATTATTTACCTAGTGTTTCTCTAGGAGATTTGGCCACAGACCAGCTTGCCAGCCTGCATAATCCTTAAACTCATAATCAGCTCCTGGAGAGTTGGAAAGTTGGTGCATCTGACTGTGAAGAACTTAAATGTAATGATCTCAGAATTTGTATGACTGGAAAACCAGGTATACCTTATCTATTTCTAAGACATTTAGGAAATGGTCAGATTTTATCTTGTTTTGTGAACTACATAAATCCTTTATTTTCTTTTTCTGAATTCTTCCTTGTTTATCCAGGTAAGGCTGACTGATGGGGGGTTGGGGGGAGGAAGTAAAACTGTCAGAAGCATTAGAACCAGAGTAACTCCATATTGAATAGGGGCGGGTAAAATAAGGCTGAGATCTACTGGGCTGTGTTTCCAGGAGGTTAAGGCATTCTTAGTCACAGGATGAGACAGGAGGTTGGCACAAGATACAGATCATAAAGACCTTGCTGATAAAACATGTTACAGTAAAAAAGCCAGCCAATACTCACCAAAACCAAGACGGCCACGAGAGTGGCCTCTGGTCATCCTCACAGTTACATTCCCACCAGCACCATGACAGTTTACAAATGCCATGACAACATCAGGAAGTTACCCTATATGGTCTAAAAATGGGAGGCATGAATAATCCATCCCTTGTTTAGCATATAATTAAGAAATAACCATAAAAATGGGCAACCAGCAGCACTGGGGGCTGCTATATGGAGTAGCCATTCTTTTATTCCTTTACTTTCCTAGTAAACTCTCTTTCACTTTAAAGACTTGCCCTGAATTCTTTCTTGCACGAGATCCAAGAACCCTCTCTTGGGGCCTGGATCGGGATCCTTTTCCAATAACAAAACTAAACCTACTATTTTATATAGTAATAACTTGACCAAAACAACACAACTTAGAAAGGCTTTGGAAATATTGGTTTAAATTATGACTGGATCAATAATCTAGCCTTTTTTTTTTTTTCAGAACAGCACAGATAACTGAGAAATTTTGATAAATGACTTACCCCTTTATAACAGACAAAATTGTGAAGATATTTGAGCATTAATTTTCTTAATTGATAGTTAAAAAACTGAGATTCAAAACAATGAACTAAATTAGAAAATATTCAGTAATGATTTCATATTGCAGGTTTAAAATGTATGTGATTCAGAAACACCATGACACAACAAATCATGAAGTTTTCCCTCGAGGTTTTAGGAAAAGTCTAAAGTGGTGGAAGTATAGTATACATATTATATATAATATATATTACCTTTTTATATATTATAAATAACATTTATTATATATAAATATTTATATATAAATGTTATTTATAAATAATATGTTCCTTAATGTTATATATAAATATTTATATATAAACTATGTAAACTACAAATAAAATCCTAATCCCCCAACTGACTGAACGGACCGCCTTTTGGACAAGGGGACCCCAGAGAAACCTGAAAAACTGAATTCCCAGTCTTCAAGGAACAGGAGGTCAGATAAACCTTTTATATTCCCTCCCTTTCAGAGTTTAGGCACAACTGGCCAGCATTAACAATAAAATACAGATTATAAGACTGACAAAACAGACTCCTTGTGTGATAATATACTGAATTCCAGCCTTACTCTGCTATAGCATCACATGACAGATAGTAAACCCTGGAAGAAATAAAAATATTTTACCCCAAAATATATTTATTGGACTTGTTTTGAAATGGCCCTGCAAAGCCATCTTTGCATGAGGAGATTTGTATCTGTAGAGGATCTCCATTGAAGCAGTCAGGCCTCCCTTTCTAGCCTCTTCCCAGGTCTAAGAAAGATAAAATGAGGGTGTGACACATTTAAGGTTTGAAAAGACATTTATCATCTATTCTCTCTGATGGCTATTACCTATGAGGCTTCATCTACATAAGAACTTTGGCGTGCACAATGCCTCTTAACTCTAGCATTTCTTCCTGATGACTTAGAGTCTTTAGACAAAGTTTTACTTTTACAACCAATTGCCAATCAGAAAAATCTTTGAATCTACCTATGACCTGTAACCACCCTCACTTCCCTGCTTCAAGATAATTCACCTCATAAGGTTGAACCAATGTAAACCTTCCATGTATTGATTTATGTCTTCGCCTGTAACTCCTGTCTCCCTAAAATGAGTAAAGCCAAACTGTAACCTGACCACCTCAGGCATACTTTCTCAGGACCTCTTGAGATTGTTCCTGGGCCATGGTCACTCATACTGGCTCAGAGTAAATCTCTCTAAATATTTTACAGTTTTATTTTTCTGTTAACAAATATGTGTGTTTGTGTTTGTGTCTGTCTGTCTGTGTGTGTCCCTGAGTTTTGTGTTGGGATCAAGGCTCTAAAAGGTATATATTGCGAACTCCTCAAATTTGAGATGGGTCTCAGTTAATTTAGAAAGTTTATTTTACCAAGGTTGAGGATGTACACCCATGACACAGCCTCAGGAAGTCCTGATGACATGTGCTCAAAGTGGTCGGGGCACAGCTTAGTTTACACGTGTTAGGAGACATGAGACATGAGTCGATATATATAAGAAGTACATTGGTTTGGTCTGGAAAGGGTGAACAACTTGAAGCAAAGGCAGAAGACCTGAAGTGGGAAGGGGGCTTGCAGGTCACAGATAGGTGAGAGACAAACAGTTGCATTCTTTGGAGTTTCTGATTAGCCTTTCCAAAGGAGGCAATCAGATAGGCATCTATCTCAGCGAGCCTCTGCTCACTGACTTTGAATAGAATGGGAGGCAGATTTGCCCCGAGCAGTTCCCAGCTTAAAGGAGTCCAAGATATTTCCTTTCACATTTCCCCCCTTTTCTTTTTTAAAATGTTTTGGAGAAAGCATTTTCAAAGAAAATGAGTCTCTGGTCCCAGGATTCATCAATCTCTCATGGCTAGGACGACTTATTCCTAGATGGGTGTGCCCAGAAAGCCCATTTGTACCAGGTTCTGGAGTCTCATATCCCATTAAGAGAAAATGGGGAGAGAAAGGGATAAAAACAACAACACACAAAAGAGCAATCCTGGCAAATCAATAGGCCACATTACTCTGAAGTCTATACGTCAGTAGGCAGTTATGAAAGTGGCATATGAATGTAAATAGGTTACTGTTATTTTCTTCTGAAGTTTGAGTTACCTAGTTTCAGTTCACAGGGATTTAAGACAGCACAGCTTAGTTTTCAGTGACTCCCAATTCGGAGAAATGGAAAAAAGGAAAAAAATTGAAAACATATTTTGAAGACTTGTACCCAAGAAAAAAATTAGAATTCAGCCCAAACCTTAGGCAAGACAAGAATCTAACAATAGGCGTACTATAATTTTTTAAACATAATTTTTCTCTCCCCAATTTCCTATTTTTGTTAAAGACAAATCATGGTAGAACTGTTTTGCTTTATTACACTTGGCCTAATTATTTGTATACAGTGCAGCAAGAATAATTATTTTTTACATAGGCTTTTAAATTGGCTTTGATGGAACTTTCTTCCATACAAGGAATCTCAGATAAGACTTTTTAAAAGCTTAGCCAAGTCATGGATTTGTGCCATCAAATATCTGTGAGTTGTGTGATCTTCTCAAGGTTCCATGATAAACTTGGCGATCCTAGACCTGTCAGAAAGTGACATTCTTTACTTACCACAGGTCAAGAACCCAGTACAGGGGTGTATGGACAAAGATATAAGGCCAGTTTCCCCAAGGGGCTTTATTGGCTCTGTCATGCGTGTCCCTGTGAAGAGACCACCAAACAGGATTTGTGTGAACAATAAAGCTTTTTAATCACCTGGGTGCAGGCAGGCTGAGTCCGAAAAGAGAGTCAGCAAAGGGAGATAAGGGTGGGGCTGTTTTATAGGATTTGGGTAGGTAAAGGAAAATTACAGTCAAAGGGGGGTTGTTCTCTGGCGGGCAGGAATGGGGGTCACAAGGTGCTCAGTGGGGGAGCTTTTGAGCCAGGATGAACCAGGAAAAGGAATTTCACAAAGTAATGTCATCACTTAAGGCAAGAACCAGCCATTTTCACTTCTTTTGTGGTAGAATGTCATCAGTTAAGGAGGGGCAGGGCTTTTTCACTTCTTTTGTGATTCTTCAGTTACTTCAGGCCATCTGGGCGTATACGTTCAAGTCACAGGGGATGCGATGGCTTGGCTTGGGCTCAGAGGCCTGACAGGCTCCACAAGTCAAGTTTGATTCCTTAAAGGAAAGCACACCATTCCAGTCAAAGCCTTGGTAAAATAACCAGTGTCATGCGCGTCCGTGTGAAGAGACTACCAAGCAGGCTTTGGGAGAGCAACAAGGCTGTTTATTTCACCTGGGTGCAGGTGGGTTGAGTCTGAAAAAGGAGTCAGCAAAGGGAGACAGGGTTTGGGCTGCTTTATGGGATTTGGGTGGGTAGTGGAAAATTACAGTCAAAGGGGGTTTTTCTCTTATGTGCAGGGGTGGGGTTCACTAGGTACTCAGTGGGGGAGATTCTGAGCCAGGAGAAGGAATTTCACAAGGTTAAGTGCTCAGTTAAGGTGGGGCAGGAACAAATCACAATGGTGGAATGTCAGCAGTTAAGACAGGAACCGGCCATTTTCTCTTCTTTTGTGATTCTTCACTTGTTTCAGGCCATCTGGATGTATACGTGCAGGCTTGGGCTCAGAGGCCTGACAACCAGGTCCTCCAATTGCATGCTATTACAAATGAAAACAGACTTTTATTGCACTTATGCAAATAATTGTATTACCATAACACAAAAATTAGCCAGGCCTTGTGGCACATGCCGGTAATTCTAGCACTTTGGGAGGCCGAGGCAGGCAGATCACCAGAGGTCAGGGGTTTGAAACCAGCCTGGCCAACATGACGAAACCCCATCTCTACTAAAAACGCAAAAATTAGCCAGGCGTGGTGGCACATGCCTGTAATCCCAGATACTCAAGAGGCTGAGACAGGAGATTCGCTTGAACCAAGGAGGTGGAGGTTGCAGTGAGGCAAGATCTCACCACTGCACTCCAGCCTGGGTTGACAGTAAGACTCCATCTCAAAAAGGAAAGAAAGAAAAGAAAGAAAGAAAAGAAAGAAAGAAAGAAAGAAAGAAAGAAAGAAAAAAAAAAAAGAAAGAAAGAAAGAGAAAGAAAGAAAGAAAGAAAAAAAAAGACTCTGAAAAACAAAAAAAAAGGATCAGCAAACATTTAAGCAAAAAGTAAGAAAGAAAGAAAGAAAGAAAGAAGAAAGAAAGAAAGAAAGAAAGAAAGAAAGAAAGAGAAAGAAAGAAAGAAAGAAAAGAAAGAAAGACTCTGAAAAACAAAACAAAAGGATCAGCAAACATTTTAAGCAAAAAGTCAAAAAGATTAGTTCAGTCCATGCAGTTAATTCCTGTTCTGCGTGACACGAACACTTTAGCTCTCCATGAGTCCTGAAACCTTTTTCTCAATTCTTATGTCACAGAATATCTATAATTTATCTACATACACATAAAAATATTTCTAAACATTTTATAAAAAGGGGTTTTTTTCATATATATGGTCTCTTTAGAAAATTGCCAGAAATATTATTTATAGAAATTGTAATTATTAAGTCTTGCACTCCAGAAAATGAGGTTTCAAGAACAACCGGCATAAATGCTAAAACTTGATGCTAAACTAAATATTTTAATTTAATTCACTAAGTTTCTACTAAAAACATGCTTCAAGAGAGGCCTTGTGCTTGCCAAGTGAGAAAAGAATCTTATATGTCCAGGGTTCAATTCTGTCAGAGGCTTAAGTATTTGAAAATTTTCTGATGTTAATTTTCCAAAGAAGTGTAGACCATGAAGTAAATATTTGCCATGTAAAATTGAAGATAAAGTTAATAAGCTAAAAATAATTCTGGTTGAATTAGACACAATTCATGCAAACTTGGCTTACTCTACATTGATGAGTTTAAGTGGGAGGATTAAATTATTGACTCCACTCATACAATTTCTATTAACTTATGGAACAAAATCACTGCCTAGAATAGAACTTACCAAATATTGTTGTAAACTGCTGACCTCATGCATCTTGATGATGATAGTTATTCTGCTAAAGTCTTTTGAAGCAATTGATTGTGGCCTTCTTAAGCTCTATTTAAAGGGATTTCTGTTGTGAAACAGATGAATTTGCATGAAATATTGCTGCTATGCTTTCTGACCATTTGTTTGTTCTCATGAAAGTGAAATTTGTTATCTGTATCCTCTCTGGTTGCTAGGATAAAATGTCTCCTTAAGGTTGCCAAGACTAGTAGCAACAACAGCTGGTGAATCTAATTTGCATTTAAATGGACAATTCACAACAATGTCCTTCAAGTCCCAGGATGCTCTGAATGTATGCTCTATGTACATATGCAGTAGTAGCTCCAAGATGGATATACAGACAACAATACAATCTAAAAGCTGCATATTAAGGATCAGTCACACTATGAAGGGCTGCTGATGCACTCATCACCCTCTTGAAAAAATAATTATCCCAAATCTAATGTCTGATCTTCATGTCAGGCCATCTCCTAATATTTCAAGCTGCTCAAGGATTAATTTTAGCAAGCCTAGAATGGGCCTGTGTTATTTTACTGAATAAAAGATCTACCAAAAATCTGTGATCTCTGGTCAAGTCGTGAAATAATTATTGTAATTAATAAGGTTGTTTTGTAATCAAGAGTCCAAGGAGTTTCAGGGAAGTTTGTACCAGCTTGTTAGCACTGTTTATTGATAACAGTGAGACTGATGATTTGTACCTGTTAGATATAAGTTCTAAATTTCTCTTCAAATAATCAATATGTCAGTATGTTCAATTCTTTGCCTTCTACTTTTAAACTTAACTTCCTTGTTAAGTAACCTTTTTCAATTACCTACTCCACCCTGACTCATTCAGATTACCTGCTCCCTGCTCCACCCTGACTCACTGTCCACCCTGCATAACCATTTTTTTTTCTCACCAAAGCACTCACCCTTGTCACTCTTTTTAAATTAGCCAATCGGAATTAGTTTAGCCTGTGCAGTCTAACCCTAGCCAATAGGGGAATGACGCAGCAGCAGGGGCCACATGCGTCAGGGATAAGAACCCCTTCCCCTCCCTTGTCCAAGTGTGTGCTCACCATTGCTCCATCTGTAAGGGCACACCCTTTTATAGAAGTAACTTGCCTTGCTGAGAATTAAAAGAAAATTTTATATTTGAGTTCTATTTCTTTTGTGACATCAAAACTTTATATGTAATATACCCAATCTTGGTAAAATCCTAGAAGGTCTCTGCTATTGGTTTTGGTTTCACAACAAGAATATTGTTTTGGGCTATGATACATATTCTTACTTTAATGCTGTTGCTATATTGTATCCTTTTCTTGTAAAACTAGATTTGAAAATACTTCCACTTTGGGTCCTGAGAATGTTCTTTAGCAAATAAAGCCTGTTTGATTGCCATTGTTCATGTGAAAGCTATACAAACAATACTTTTAATAATCACCTTTAAAAATAATCACCTTTTTATAATTATAAATTATTATGTGCTTATCAAAAAGCTTGGAGACTACACAAAATTTCTAAGGAACAAATAAAGTTACTAACAATTTTAAAGTCAGGAAATAATCATTCTTAATTTTTCTCATAGATTTCCTCTCTGTTTTCTTGAGATCATGTGTCATAATTGTTTTGTAATTCGATTTTCTTCAGGTGACCTTAATAACATTAGCATTACTCATAGTAAATATCATTTTCCTGATTATATATTGTTCAATCAATGGATATCCTATTATTACAAAAAAGATTGTATTGTTGAAAATTCCATTTATTATTGTTTTTTTCTTTACAAATAAGCAGTTATGAAACTGTATTGTGCATAAAGCTGTTTATCATATTTAATCCATATCCTTAGGACAGATTTCTAAAATGAGATTGACCATGCCATAGAATACAAAGTTTTTTTTTTTTTTTTTTTAAATATAAGTAGAGAGTTTATTTGGGCCAAGCTTGAGGACTGCAACTCAGGAGTACAGATTCAAGTTGCCCTGAATACACCCTCTGATTAGCAGCTGTTACAAGTGGAATTTTTTTTTTATTATTATACTTTAAGTTCTAGGGTACATGTGCACAACATGCAGGTTTGTTACATATGTATGTATGTGCCATGTTTTTGTGCTGCACCCACTAACTCGTCATTTACATTAGTTATATCTCCTAATGCTATCCCCTCCCCCCACAATGGGCCCTGGTGTGTGATGTTCCCCTTCCTGTGTCCAAGCGATCTCATTGTTCAATTCCCACCTATGAGTGAGAACATGCGGTATTTGATTTTCTGTTCTTGCAATAGTTTGCTGAGAATGATGGTTTCCAGCTGCATCCATATCCCTACAAAGGACACGAACTCATCCTTTTTTATGGCGGCATAGTATTCGATGGTGTATATGTGCCACATTTTCTTAATCCAGTCTGTCACTGATGGACATTTGGGTTGGTTCCAAGTCTTTGCTATTGTGAATAGTGCTGCAATAAACATACGCATGCATGTGTCTTTATAGCAGCATGACTTATAATCCTTTGGGTATATACCCAGTAATGGGATGGCTGGGTCAAATGGTATTTCTAGTTCTAGATCCTTGAGGAATCGCCACACTGTTTTTCACAATGATTGAACTAGTTTACAGTCCCACCAACAGTGTAAAAGTGTTCCTATTCCTCCACATCCTCTCCAGGACCTGTTGTTTCCTGATTTTTTAATGATTGCCATTCTAACTGGTGTGAGATGGTATCTTATTGCAGTTTTGATTTGCATTTCTCTGATGGTGAGTGATGATGAGCATTTTCTCATGTGTCTGTTGGCTGCATGAATGTCTTCTTTTGAGAAGTGTCTATTCATATCCTTTGCCCACTTTTTGATAGGGTTGTTTTTTTTTTCTTGTAAATTTGACTGAGTTCTTTGTAGGTTCTTTGTCAGATGAGTAGATTGCAAAAATTTTCTCCCATTCTGTAGGTTGTCTTTTCACTCTGATGGTAGTTTCTTTTGCTGTGCAGAAGCTCTTTAGTTTAATTAGATCCTATTTGTCGATTTTGGCTTTTGTTGCCGTTGCTTTTGGTGTTTTAGACATGAAGTCTTTGCCCATGCCTATGTCCTGAATGGTATTACCTAGGTTTTCTTCTAGGGTTTTTATGGTTTTAGGTCTAACATTTAAGTCTCTAATCCATCTTGAATTAATTTTTCTGTAAGGAGTAAGGAAAGGATCCGGTTTCAGCTTTCTACTTATGGCTAGCCAATTTTCCCAGCACCATTTATTAAATACGGAATCCTTTCCCCATTTCTTGTTTCTCTCAGGTTTGTCAAAGATCAGATGGCTGTAGATGTGTGGTATTATTTCTGATGGCTCTGTTCTGTTCCATTGGTCTTTATCTCTGTTTTGGTACCAGTACCATGCTGTTTTGATTACTGTAGCCTTGTAGTACAGTTTGAAGTCAGGTAGCATGATGCCTCCAGCTTTGTTCTTTTGGCCTAGGATTGTCTTGGCAATGTGGGCTCTTTTTTGGTTCCATATGAACTTTAAAGCAATTTTTTTCCAATTCTATGAAGAAAGTCATTGGTAGCTTAATGGGGATGGCATTGAATCTATAAATTACCTTGGGCAGTATGGCCATTTTCACGATATTGATTCTTCCTATCCATGAGCATGGTATGTTCTTCCATTTGTTTTTGTCCTCTTTTATTTCACCAAGCAGTGGTTTGTAGTTCTCCTTGAAGAGGTCCTTTACATCCCTTGTAAGTTGGATTCCTAGGTATTTCATTCTCTTTGAAGCTATTGTGAATGGGAGTTCATTCATGATTTGGCTCTCTGTTAGAATACAAACATTTTTAAGGCTAAAGACATAATTTTACTAATTAATTTCCAAAAGGTAATATCTATATTTATACTCAAAAAAACTATAGGAATACTTTAATAGAGCAGTCATATCTTTCAGAAACATTTATCCCTTATCTGTCATAGTTTTAGGGATAATTTTTTTTTACTTTTAATTTATGTGTTTGGCTTATAGACAATTTATAACTTAACACAATTAAATCTATTATCTTTTCCTTCTGACCTCTTATGTTACTTTTAAGTCTGGAAAATCCTTACTCATGCAAACATTTGATAGTATATTCATTTTTATTTTCTTGTAGACTTTTTATAAACTGATTTTTTTACATTTAACACTTTAAGCAGTTTCGATGAAGTTCCCCAATTATAGCTTCATTTTTTCTAGTCCTATTTATTGAAAACCTTTACTATATATTAACATATGGATCATGTATATTATGGAAAAATAAATATTCTCTGGATTTCTAGGTTTTCCTGCAAAATGTCAGCCTCCTGAGCCATACATTGTGAATTAGAAAATATTTGGTTTTACTTTCGTCAGAAAAAAAATTCCTTTTCATATGCCTATTACATCTTCAGCCATTTGCCTCCTTAATTGTGGAACTAATTGCTTCCTTTCAAAAGATAATAAACCTCTTCTCCCCAGGAGCCAAATGGTTGCATTCCAGAATGGGAACTTGAGTTAAAGGAAAAGGTGACTGAATAATGCTTAGACTCCTGGAAGGGTTTAGAGTGTTATCTGTCCTTGTATTTATATTTCAAGAGAGACAATTCTGGGTTGCAAACTCGGAGAACTAGTCTTATTTTGCCCCTGAAGATATTCATTTCCACTACAAACTTAAGAACCCAGGATTCTTCTTCACCCAGGATTCTTCTTCTAACAGAAAGAGGGACAGATTTTCTCCCCTTCTAGATAAAAGGAGAAACGTAAAGCTCTGGGTCCCTAGCCTACAGTACAATCCCACAGCATATTTTAGTATTTATCCATACACCTCTAATCATCTCTAAGGGCTGTTTTAGCTTTGAGTAAAGTAGACCTCTGATCTCTGATTGTCTGTAGGTGTTTCTGTTAAGGATTCTACTATCTATCTTCCTATCTAAATTATCTACCTATCTAAATATATAATTGTGCTAATAGAGAAACAGATCCATCACAGTTTCTAACTTAACATACATTAAATTTTTATTCTCCTGGAGCTCCTTCTGGACTGTTTTCTTTGTCACTATCACTTTGATTCTGTAAGCCTTATAATGTTTTTAGATATTTAATAAATTTTACATAACTTGTATTTTGTCTAACTTTTAAAGCAATTCTTACCCATTTACTTTTCCATGTGAATT